GGGGGAGGGCAGAGGAGGCAGCCAGGAGGGAGGGCAGAGGGGAGCAGGAGGAGAGCAGGGAGAGACTAGAAGGTGGTAGCCGGCGAACCAGGAGGGGCAGTGTAGGGTCTGGGGTCCGGATGGAGAGCCAGCCGGGGCTGTGGGGTGTCTGAGGGAGAGGCGCGAGGAGCTGGGGCAGCTGGTCTCGTGGGAAGAGTCCTTCCAGGACCCTTCCCTTCTTCTGAGGTCTGTGCCGTGACTGGGTGCCCTGACCACTTTCCCTGCGGCCGGGGTGGGCTGAGTGTGAGCGCTGCCCCCCACTGCTCCCCGCTGCCCGGCCCCCTGCCCCCACCCCCGCTGCCCGGCCCCCCCTCACGGCCCCCACCCCCGCTGCCCGGCCCCTCCTCACGGCCCGCACCTCTCCGCAGTACGTGCGCGTCTCCCAGGACACGCCCTCCAGCCTCATCTACCACCTCATGACCCAGCACTGGGGCCTGGACGACCCCAACCTCCTCATCTCAGTGACCGGAGGCGCCAAGAACTTCAACATGAAGCTCAGGCTGAAGAGCATCTTCCGGAGAGGCCTGGTCAAGGTGGCCCAGACCACAGGTAGGAGCCCAGGACACAGGTAGTGCCCAGGACACGGGGAGGAGCCCAGGACACGGGGAGGAGCCCAGGACACGGGGAGGAGCCCAGGACACAGGTAGCGCCCAGGACACAGGTAGCGCCCAGGACACGGGAGGAGCCCAGGACACGGGGAGGAGCCCAGGAGGAGTCCAGGACATGGGGAGGAGTCCAGGACACGGGGAGGAGTCCAGGACACGGGGAGGAGTCCAGGACACGGGGAGGAGTCCAGGACATGGGGAGGAGTCCAGGACATGGGGAGGAGCCCAGGAGGAGTCCAGGACACGGGGAAGAGCCCAGGAGGAGTCCAGGACACAGGGAGGAGCCCAGGACACGGGGAGGAGCCCAGGAGGAGCCCAGGACACAGGGAGGAGTCCAGGACACGGGGAGGAGTCCAGGACAC